CCCCCATTTGAATATACAGTATGATTAACATACGATAATGTATCATAATACTATTGTTAGCAAGTGTATGCCTGAGTAGGCAAGAGTCACATCCACCTTTGAGAAATATTTATCTATTCACAATAATTTTTACATCGAATACTCATCTATATGTCAAATAGAAATACGATGTCTTGTTGTTTTTAGTGATGTTTCTAATAAAGTAAATCTTTTGACTATAATTTATGGTATATTCCAGTTTATGGTTAATATTAATAAATTTAATTCTTATGCCTGTTGAAAACGAATGCTTTTTTTATTATTATATATTGCACATTTTATTAAGAATCAGTAAAAATCTTTAAAAGTTTTTTCACTTGTCTTAAGCGCATTTGTTTCCATTTTTCATATTAAAACAACGACAACCAACATTTGGAATACAATTTTCGCCAGCTAGACAACATTGAGTTTTATGTGGAGCATAAGTGCATTCCTTTTCATTCGGTGGACAATCTTTGACTGGAGTTGAAATTTTGTCGTTTGATCCTAAAATTGGATCAATAACAGATTTCCAATCATTAAGTGACCATGTTGGATCGGCACTTATGAAGACACCATTAATAAAAAATGTCGGAGTACCAAGAACACCTAAGTAGCGAGAAAATGTTTAATTTTCTTAGTTTTATTGGAACTAAATTACCTCTTGAACAAGCATATTTCCATGAAACACGTGTTTCAAAATTAATATCATCCATGGCCATGCCTGCTAAAAATTTATCTTTTGTTACTAAACCAGTTGAAGCAACGAATGTAGCAAGTGAATCAACAACTTGTGGCATCGTCATTGATTGAGTTGCATCATTATACCAGGCCGCTTGATTTTCAAATACTTTAGTTGCATATTGAAAAATAGAGTCAAGATTTCGGCTGGTAGCATTAGCGATAACATGTAAACCTTGAGAAGCAACAAATGAATTCGTATGATAAGGAAGCGGAAATGTATGAATTCGAACATGAATTCGTGTGCCATATGCTTGAATTACTTGTAAAACTGTTGGCCACGAAGCTTTGCAACCTGGGCAAAGTGGATCAAAAAACATTTCTACGACAACATGTGAATCAGCTGGTCCACCTACACCATATCCGTCTGGACGTGATGGGATAGGTGCTTGTGCCGATGCAAAACTAACATGAACTGCAACAAATATTAAAGCAAAAGTTACTCGTTGCATGATTTTTTTTCTTTTTTGATATAATATATAACACGGTGTGCTAGAAGATGTGTCTTTGTCTAGTTTATATATCCCAAAGATAAGGTAAGCATAGAGTAATATATGTCGTGTAATCATCATGACTAGCAAGAGATAACTTTTCTTATCATGTTAACAATAAGTTGCTTAAAAACGAAATCTGGCTTGCATTTCATCATGGCAGTTGAACTGGATAATTTGAATTGTTTGCTATAAAAAATAGCTGCCATTTCTATTTGACTTTTGTTTTTTTTCTAAATTCAGAAAAGATTTAGTAAATCTCTTCAGATATTAATAAAATCTCAAATTGTATTTTCATTTTGTTATATTTTTTCAAAAGTAAGAGAATTGCGTTTTTCTTGTCGTTACGATTTTTACGGTCCATGACAACATATTCTAGAATGTCAGATAAACACGAATGATTATTTACTCCACGATTATAATTTAATCTTTCGTCGAAATCAAACTATGAAAAAATACTAAAAGATTCTATGTTTTTTTTTTGACATCAAAATAAATGATGCCACAAGATTGCAGGCATACTCATAATAGTAATTTTAAAACATGTGATCTATTTTACAAGCACATCTATTGATCGCTAATGCACAGACTATTGAACTTAAACAATTTACAGAATTATTTCAAGTTTTAGCTAGAAAAAGGTGGTTTCATATTAATTTCACTCACTACATTACCATTTAATCATGAATAAAATTTTAAAAAAATGTTTACTTTCGGTATATTGCTATCTAACGGTGAAAAATCGGTTTGATATATTAAAAATTCAATGCAATGACGCAGATGAACGAGTATCCGTAAATATCTTACATGTATGTTTTATGACTAAGTCTTATTGGTCACCAAACTGTGTCAATCTTTATGTGCGCACAATGTTATTTATCTCTCTTTACTCATTTTATTATTATTATCAGCATATGGAGCTTGTTAACTTTTTTTCCATTGAAGATATAAATAATGTATCGTTAAATTTTTACTGTTTCAATAAAGAATCAACGATTTCCTATAAGAATATTTCAGTTAACGATCAACTATTTTTCTCTGAAATGAATACTAAAATTATAATATTGGTCTTCTGCTCGAGTTTTATAAATATTATTTATACAACAGAAATAAAAGCAAATAAAACACTTGAAAGTCTATGCGACACAGTGTCTACCAATAACAGTCTTCAGTACAAAAGCAATCAAAGAAGAGATACTATCATCGAACAAGAATCATCCCGTTCAAAAGTGGATGATCAATATATTGTAGAAGAACAACATGAATCTAGCAATGGTAAGCAGTCAAAATTTCTTCGATGATTTCAATTGATTCGTTTCAATAAATATCTATATAATTTGTTTTCACTATTGATTTAGAAAATGTTCACCAAAGCAATAGCAACTTGGGTAAAGTTATAAGACTTCCTGGTAGAACCATTCGTAATGGTAGAGGGATCCGTGGCAGTAGTAGTAATAACGGAGGTGTAAACCGTCCAACTACTTCTGTTATACGATTTCGTAATACTCGTACAGGTGCATCGATTTCTCGTCCAAATGGATGGTTATGGAGTCGATCTCGATTGGTATTTCTTCCATTGGCTACACTATATTTTCATCGTTCTCGCTCAGCAAGTAATAGATACACAACACCACCTTCTACGCCACTCACTTATTATTATTGTACATCGAACGATGGTTCTGTTGAAATTCAATGTAGTTCTATGTATGGTGATACATTATGTTGTGAAGATCAAACAAGTCAACAGCCATTTTGTTGTGGCGGTGATATTCCAGATGATTTTGTCGAAGATCCAAATGGAGCAACGCGAAGACTAGCAAAAATATTTTACACCCTTACGGCGATAACTTTGTGTATCCATTTGTTTCTAAGACGTCTTCGTCAATAACTCTTATTTATGGCTATTGTTCTTATGGCAAAATTTCATTACAGATGAATATATCGAACAAAATTCTAAATTTTTATAAAATAAAAATAAACTGTCTGCTATTGATTTCCATTCAATAAAAAGAAACATTCTAAAGTTTTTATTTTGATAGATATTGATCACAAAAATTAATTTAACAAATGAAGCAACTATATGCAGTATATAATAACAATAGAATTCCTAGCAATTGAAAACAAAACTATAATGTTTTAGCACTATGATTGAATTTAAAATAGTTCAAATATGATTAAAATTTTTCAAAATATCGAGATGTCTAATTTCCGAAAGAATAAATGACTGCATGGTTGAAATCAACGATGGTCATTGGTATTGTCGCGAATTGACACCGTCATGATATAATCAATACAGTACGTGTCAGCGGATAAAGTTGGAGATTTCGATAAGGCTCACCTGTTTGTTTTTTTAAACTTAAGTCAGCACAACAATAATAATAGAGGCAGATTATTGGAGATAAATCCAAAAAAGAAAACAAAAACCGAAGGAATGTTAGCATGACAAATAAAAACAGGATAAATCACAGTATAAAAGCTGCTAAATTCAATCAGATTTTTTTTTCTAAAGGTGAAGTATTCTTACAAACGAGCTATCGCCTACTTCACCCTTTCTGCTTGGACCATTTGCGTAAGGAATGAAATTGAAATGACTAATTACCTGTTTAAATAGAATTTTCTTTTTTTTACATGCATGTTTTTTCAGATTACGTTTCACATACTAGATGTTTGCCTGCATGATTGCATCTTTTCCAATTTCGATAACGAAAAGGAGATCATAACGAGCGGAGTGCATCGAATCAAAGTGCAAACACCCGTCAGGCGTTCATATTATTATGGCAGCTCTGAAAAAGATTCGGTAGTAAACTAGAGTTTGAGTTGTGCAATATCTCTTCCATTTTTCTGCTATAACTATTTTCTTTGTACTCCATAATTCACAACCATATGGCTATGGCGAATTATTCTCAAACGTCAAATACTCTAGAAGAATGTTCAATATGTTTAAGTCCATTAGCTCAACAAAGTATAGATGTATAAACAACAACATGCCAACATAAGTTTCATTTTCAATGTTTGATCAAGAATATCCAAGCTCGAAATAATGTGTGTCCCTTATGCCGAACACGACTCGACTCATTAGTAGATATTTTGAATGGACCAGTAACGGCTACTGGTTCAGTACTTACTCAAAACATTCCAACACCAATATTAACACGGACGCTAATCCCACTAACAGTACGAAAAACAGGTATTTGGGCGAAATTAACAAAGCCAATAACAAATGCATTTAAACGTGGTTCAAACAAGAATGCTTGCACATGCTGTCGTGATTACAGAGCATTTCCATCGCTTGTAAGTCATGACGAAGAGAGAAACAGTTTATTTTTCAATTTATTTTCATTTAGAACTTTTCTGATTTCTCTTTATCACAAGATTCAATCGATGAAGAAGATGTTTGTTACAGCTCTATTCAATCGTATCACTGCTGGCCGACAGCAATGCATCGAAGGCCACACTAAATTTCCTTCGATTACTGCACGCACTGAATTAGAATTCGGTGGTCAAGAATCACCAAAACAATCAAACATTTATGGAATGGTTACACTAAATGCTCCATCAATACGTTCGAATGAAGCAAGCGAGAAGCAACTCGATGAATTGCATATTCCTGTCGACCTCATTTCCGTTGTTGATCAAAGTGGTTCAATGCAAGGCAAAAGAATAGCTTTACTGAAAGAAACATTGAATTATATTGTTGATCGGATGGGTCCATTAGATCGATTGGCTATTGTTTCGTTCGATACTACAGCGTTTGACCTTTCGCAAGATCTGGAATTAATGACCACAGAAAAATAAGTATTTTATTCTATTCTAAATATAATTTTAATAAGCAAGTTCTTCGTTTTTTTTAAAGCAAAGAAACTCTTCAAAATGCAATCTGGTATCATATTCAAACAGGTGGCGATAAGTCTATGGATAGTGGTCTTGAAATGGCAATTAAATTGTTAAGAAATCGGCAAGCTACGAATCCATCAGGTGCTTTGCTTGTTCTAACTGATGGTCAAGATTGTCAACGTCATGATTATTCAAATTTGATGGAACAACTGTCAGAAGGTGTTGTTTGTCACACATTTGGTTATGGATCTGACCATAATGCTGCTCTACTTTCTCAAATAGTTGAACAAGGTCATGGAGGTACTTTCACATATATTGACCAAGTCGATGGAGTTGGTCATGCATTTGCTACTGTAGTTGATGAACTATTTATATGTATTGGAAAACAGTTAAGGATTCAATTGGAGTTTAATGGTGATTATACAATTACTCATGCTCATACAACTTACTCGTATGAACCAAACAGTTACCTTCTCGTCAAATAACATTTAATATATGACGCATCTTAATACTGATGAAATTCGAAGCATCTTTTTTCAATTACATGTACCAAAACTGAATACATCAGACAAAATCAATTCATATCATCATACTATCGGTAATCTATCGAGTATTTTAGTATAAGGAAAAAATGCAGCTTCATCATCGAATTTCATTTTAGGTCATGTATCTCTTGAATATACTGATGCTAATACGAGTCAGACCATCCGTACGGAACCTGTTCCGATCAAGTAGATCCTCAATTATCACTTATTCAAGTCAACTATGAACTTGATATTCAACGTAATCGAATCGAAACAAGTGAAGTATTGAAACGAGCAGTGGTAGAAACTGATTATGAACGTGCGCGTCAGATGATCAACGTGCAACTGGCAAAAATTAGCTCATCAATTTCAGCTGCAAATCCGTTATGCCAACAATTGATGTGGGATTTAGAATTCCAATATCCAAGTCAAATAGAATCTTCAATATCATTGGCAACCGTGCACATGCAGCACGAGCAAAAACATAACAGCCATGCAACTACTACTACAATTAGTGAAGCATGTAAGATGTCATCGAATCGAGGACGTTCTCGAAGTAACTATCTTTTTTGAGTTCAATAATAAAGACTCTTTTTGTTAAATGAAATTTCAATGTTGAATTTAAAAGAAACTTTTTTTATTTCTTTCTCCAAGTTATTTTTTTCCAATCATTCTGGCCGATGATTAATGAGTGTGCTGGGAAAAAGCCGAAAGGAAAAATGTCGAAATGTACATATTAATGTGGAAAAATCTCGAAAGTGAAAAATAAAAAACAATGATGCCTCAAGTATGTGGCGATTGTAACCATATATACTTCATTGTTTTTTCTTATAATTTTACTAGTGTAGAATTTTAGTCAGTATTGATAGGGATGACTAACTATTGATACAAGTAAAATAGAGGAGTTGAATAAAGTAACAACAACTAATAAGTATTGGATATGTACTATGAATTATTGTGCAGCTAAAGTGCATACTGATTCAAATAATCGATTGATGAAAACTGTTTGCAATCATAGTCATCTTCCAAGAAAAGAAAAACTTGAGGTTCACGAAGCTCGTGAACAAATGACATATTTAAAAAGAATTTTTATCACCCTTAACATTTCAGCTTAATTTCATACAAAAAACGTACACTATATTATTTACAATTCTTTAAAATATTAACTGGCAATGTTTCATGTCGATATAATTTTTTCGACATTTGTCCTTTCGATAATTTTTCCTCTTCCTTCGTTCAACATTTCTACTTTCGGCATTATGACGACCAACCGATTAATGTCACAATACCTGTTCAGTCTTTTTTTGCTACTTATGCTGGAGTATACAATATTTCGAAATACCACTGACATAAGTCAGAGTATTATCACCCAGTGAGCAGACATCATTTTTTCGATACAACGAAATCTTATATCGGTATATTTTAACTAAAGTGCAAAACTTGTTCTCGAAAGATGACTCGTGAATTCTTCTACAGGAATGCTTAAGTACATTCGAGCTTGAATGCAGATGCGAAAAATCTGACGACGAGAATAATCAGTTTCCAGAATGTTTAACATTCGACAGTGATTTTTCCTTTCAACACTTAAATTATCTGCTATGATTCTATTAACTGAAAAAGTAAAATACTAACTTTTTCCTCGCAGTGAACGTTGCTTTTGCACGCGATGCTAGACAAATTCTCAATTCATTAAGTATCATGACTCACTTGCTATTAAAACTTCTAGGAGGTGATCCGAAACGATCCAAGCGCAAATTATCTCACTAGTTTTATTCCAAAGCGAAGCATTCTGAGATTTACAAGTTTGACTACACTTCACTATTTGTTTGGTTTTTGAATAACAAGTAAAATCGACTCAAAAGATGCATTGGCTGTTGACGTTTGTAGACATTTTTATTGCTAAGAAGGGAATTTTTTTCTCAAAAACAAAACAAAATATCTGATACTGTATATTACCAAGGGAATATGTTTTCCATGAAAGACTGACTTTAGCTTCTTAACAGCTGCAAAATATCTAACAATCGCCTCAGATACTAGATGTTTAACTTCGTGTCTAATGAGCAAACAGCAATTACAATCGACTGATTGAATCCATTAAACTGCAGACAACTATTTTATTTTTATATTGCCACGACAACGCTGCATGCCATACTATTATGACGTGGTATGTGGGTTGTGCAATATCTCTTCCGTTTTTTCTGTCACATAAAATGCTGCATTTGTGAATTTTTTGCAACTATTTTTTTTGTACCCCATAATTCACAACCACATGGCTACGGCGAATTATTCTCAAACTTCAAATACTCTAGAAGAATGTTCAATATGTTTAAGTCCATTAACTCAACAAGGTGTGGATGTTTATACAACAGCATGCCTACATAAATTTCATTTCCAATGTTTGGTCAAGAATGTCCAAGCACGAAACAATGAGTGTCCTTTATGCAGAGCACATCTCGATTCATTAGTAGATATTCTTAATGCCACATCGACAGCTGCAAGCACGCAAGCAATTCAAAATATTCCAACGCCAATACCAGCACCGACACAAGCTCAACCGCCAGCAACGAACACAGGTGTTTGGGCGACACTAACGAAGTCAATGAGCAATGCATTTGGCTGGATTAGTGGATATTCGACAAGACCTGCTTCTTCGTCTCATGCACACAATTCTACCCGTCGCTCAATTGTAAGTGATTAGGACGCATGAAACCAATATTTAATCGCCTTATTTTCGTTTAGCTATCTAGCCCTATGCCTTCATCAGACGATTCCATCAATCAAGAAGCTGTTACAGCTCTTTCAAATCGTATTAATGCTGCCAGACAGCAATCCATCGAAGGTCACACTGCATTTCCTTTGATTATTGCAACTACTACATTAGAATTCGGTGGTCAAGAATCAACAAAACAATCAAATATCTATGGAATGGTTACACTAAAAGCTCCATCAATACTTTCAAATAAAGCAACAGAAAAAGAGCTCGATGAATTGCGTGTTCCGGTTGACCTTGTTTGCGTTGTTGATCAAAGTGGTTCAATGCAAGGCCAAAAAATAGCTTTATTGAAAGAAACATTGAATTATATTGTTGATCAGATGGGTCCATTAGATCGATTGGCCATTATATCTTTCGATACTAAGGCGTTTGATCGATCACACGGTCTCAAATTAATGACCACAGAAAAGTAAGTATTTGATTCTCTTCTAGGTATAATTCTAATAAATAAATAAATTCTTCCTTTTCTTTTTTTTTCTTTTGAAGAAAACAAACTCTTCGAAATGCGATCACAGAAAATATTCGAGCCGCTGGTGGTACGTATATTGGTAGTGGTCTTGATATGGCAATTAAATTGTTAAGAAATCGTCGAGCTACGAATCCACTAGGTGCTATGCTTGTTCTAACCGATGGTCAAGATAATGAACGTCATGATTATTCAAATTTGATGGAACAACTGCCAGAAGGTGTTGTTTGTCACACGTTTGGTTATGGATCTGACCATAATGCTGCTGTACTTTCTCAAATAGCTGAACAAGGTCATGGAGGTACTTTCACATATATTGACCAAGTCGATGGACTTGGTTATGCATTTGCAACCGCACTGGGAGGATTGTTTACGTGTATTGCAAAACAATTACGCATTAAACTGGAGTTTAATGGCGATTATACAGTCACGCATGCACATACAACTTACTCGTATGAACCGCATCAGCTTCCATCTCGTCATATCACATTCAGGATGACTGATCTAAATGCTGATGAAACTCGAAACCTTATCTTTCAAGTGGATGTACCGAAACTGAATGCATCAGACGAAAATAATCCAATCGATGACACTATCGGTATGCTCAAGATTTCTTTCATATAGAAGAAACATAGAGTTTAATTATTGAATTTCATTTTAGGTCATGTATCTCTTGAATATATTGATGCTAATACGAATCAGACAATCCGTACAGAACCTGTTCCTTTTGTACTTGCTCGTCCAAGTCAAATAGCTCCTCAATCGTCACTTTTAAAAGTAAATTATGAGCTTGATATTCAACGTAATCGAGCTGAAACAAGTGAAATATTGAAACGAGCAGTGACAGAAACCGATTATGGACGCGCGCGTGAAATGATAAACGTTCAACTGGCAAAAATTCGCTCGTCGGCGTCAGCTCAAAGCCCGTTATGCCAACAACTGATAAGTGATTTAGAATTTCAATATTCGAGTCAAAGAGAATTTCAAACAACAATGACAAATATGTACATGCAGCACGGACAAGAACGTGCTACATATTCAACAGCTAATGCAATAAGTGCAAATTGTTATATGACATCGGGTCAAGAACGTTTTCGAAGAAAATTTTTCTAAGTTTAGCTAAGATTGATGACTTTGGTTTTAAGTAGAAGTTCAATTATAGATGTTGCTTGATTTCTATTTTTCTTGGTTCATATATCTGTTTATTTTACCTTCATGCGATCGATGTGAACACTGATTTTGATCAAAATATTGTTTTTATGATTGTTGCTACTTAACGATAACGATAGAAAATGTAAAAAGATGTATTCGAATAACCCACTGGTTTGCAGCTAATATATATATGGTTTTTAATAAAATTCCTAAGCTTTGTAGGTTTTAAAATGAATCAAGCGAAAAATTCACTTACAAAATGATTTTTCGATGAAACGAAATTGTATGTAGATAATAAGTACAGTAGTGTTGTAAGTCCTTGGAAGAGCGTTAGACTTAGTAAACATGAAACAGAAGTATGGACTTGATCTTATGAATTTTTTGATGAAATTGAATGATATAATATAATGCGGTTTTGGAAAAGTTATGACTACTTCACGATGAGCTAATTGGGAAGTATGACGATAGTTTTGTTTGCTGCTTTATGTTTCATTTGCGGTTTGAAAAACCATAAACATATCAGCCATTAGAAACTAAGCTTATCGGGCTTTGTGAAAGCGTTTGTAAAATTGTTGGTATAAAGTATCAAGATTTGTTTTACAAGAAACTTACGTATTACTATGTAATGTAATCAGAAAGGAAAATAGAAGGTTTTATTTTCGATTAATCGGAGCATGGGCGACAAAATAAAATACTATTTTATATTGGTCTTCCCTTATCAGCAAGTAGTTATGTGTACATGACAATGCAAAACTCTCAGATATACATTTAAAATATTTGAAAGAGTTGATTTTTATTACATTGACGACACATGGCAAATTTAATGCGAGCAATTTCGGTCAGCGAGTTCGGTACTACTTTATTATTTCATCGTGAATTCATAATCATAAATTAAACATTTTATTAATTCATAGGAGATGCTAATGTATGTAAACCAGCAAAAGATATACCCATTCCCGATATAAAACCTCGAGAAGTATGAATTTGAATCAGTTCTAGAATTATTCTATGATGATTTCAATTTTAATTCTAATTAGGTATTAATTCGTGTATATGCCGCTGGTGTCAATCCAGTAGATACATATGTTCGATCAGGTACATATGCTCGTTTACCTAATCTGCCATATACTCCTGGAATGGATTGTGCTGGTGTTATTGAACGAGTTGGTGATGAAGTTACTAAATTTAAGGTAATCGGAGTAGCAATGGCAATGATAGTGGGAATGAAGTTTTAATTATTTATTTTACTTTAATGAGGAAGTGAACACAGAGAAATTCAACTGATGAGAAACCTCTCTCCATATACATCACTTCTCTTCGAAGTAATTGCAAGAGAAAATTCAAAACGAGGAGTGAAAGGAAGTGTTTTGAAGAGGCTCTCCTGCCAGCTTCGAAAAATTAATCTTTCTTGAGAGACTATCATAATGTTTATCTTATCATAATATCGAACGAAATAATTATTTTTATTTCAGGTTGACGATCGTGTATTCACAGTAAAGACTGTTACAGGCAGTTATGCTGAATATTGTGTTGCTAATTGCAATTATGTTTTTCCTTTGCCATCAAATGTTTCATTCGAAGAAGGCTCAGCACTTGGTACACCCTATTTTACTGCTTATCGAGCACTTGTTATCAAGTAAGATAGTATTCATTTATTTGCTGAAACTAAAGGTCTAGCTTTATTTTTATTTCGACGCTACTGTGCTTCGATGAGTTGTTATTCGCTGTTTCTGTTTCCTTGCAAACGCCTGAGTAAAGGAATATGAAGACAATGAGGAACAGTAGATGCTAGCAGGAAACTTTTAGATACAAAAATTAGATGTGTAATAAGATATCTGCGTTGGTCTCAATCCGATAGTTGATGGCTGTTTTTTGTTGGTCATGATAGAGAGTTTTGTAATGAATTTAGTTGCATTCTATTTTCTTGGCGACTGAGAAATGATAACTTTTTAATATAACAGACTTCACAGGGTCATTCATTTTATTTTGAATGAGTGAACATTACTGAGGGAGAACAGCAAATATCAATGTGTACTGAACCTCAAGACTTCCGATAACAGAGATTACTTCAGATGACAATATAACACAAATGGTTGTCATGTATAAAGACAGTTAATCAAGAGAATTCAGTATTGCTATTATGTCTATGGTTATCACAGTTAATCTTTTTGTACAACAGAGAGCACTGAGAAACATTCATTATCTTTTCGTTTTTCAACTTTTGAAATTCAGTTGAACAGGTTTTTCAAAATCATTGGCAATATTGATGATTATTAGATCCGTAATTAGCTATTCATTTGTAGACATTCAAAGTTATCTTACAATTTCAATAATCTTCTGTTGGCATATATTTAGGGCTAATACATTTAGTTGGAGGGAATTTGTAATACGACGCGTATCGTTCTATCTGAAAGTATGGTTGATTACGCAGACTGTTTAAACAGTACAATAAATACATGATTGTTGTTCGAAAATTTGGTACTGATATATAAGTTGAGTAGAATTTACACATATGAGAGATCAACGTGATTACTATACTACCATTGCTTTTCAACCACGGAAAAGAAAAATTTTAACGAATGAAACTGTATACAAACTACAGACATATTTATGTCGAACGTATTTTCGTCATTATTGAATTGTTTTTATTCAATCACATTTTATCTTGGCTCATCTTTTTTATTTTGAACTAACATCAAATTAAGATAATGGAGACTAATTATTCGCATATATATCAAATCAAATAGAAGCTTATACTAAATCGTTGGATTTACTTCAATAGAATATTTTATCTAAAAATGATAGTTAGATTGAAAAGATTATGCCTTGGCATACTTACAAAAATGAAGTGATCTTTAAAACTCGATGAATTTTTCTCCATCTTCTGATAAACTAAAAACTACTGAAATTTTAATAATTATTAAATCAAGTAAACTTGTAATAAAGCATTTTCGTTTATTCATTGTACGATAATAAGATTATTTTAATATCATAGAGGTCAGGCGAAACCCAATGAAACAGTTTTAGTTCATGGTGCTAGTGGAGGAGTAAGTTACTGGAAAAAAACAAATAAATTTGATTACATCTCTATGATATTTATTTTCCAATGAAAACAGGTTGGCATTGCAGCTGTACAAATAGCAAAATCACTTGGTTTACGTGTTATCGGTACAGCATCTACCGAGCAAGGTCTACAAGCAGTAATTAATCAAGGTGCTGATCTTGTATTTAATCATAAAAAAGAGGGATACATTAACGATATTGTAGTAAGATATTTACTTTTAATTTCTAAATATATTGTCTTAAACATACAATTTAATAGAATGCTGTGGCCGATAATGAAGGAATCGATATAGTAATTGAAATGTTAGCAAATGTTAATTTAAATTATGATATGCAAATGCTGAAATCTAGAGTTGGTAGAGTTATTGTTGTCGGTAATCGTGGTACAATCGAAATTAATCCGAGACTTTTAATGAGTAAAGAAACAAGCGTTTGTGGTGTTGGTTTATTTAGTACTAGTGACGTAAGATAAAGCAATTGTTGATAGTATTATTCTTATTTTTGTTCGATTCAATTAGGATGAATATGAAATGATTAATTCTTATTTACAAAAAGGTCTTGCGGATGGGCATTTCAAGCCACTTCTTAGTCAATTGTATTCATTAGAAGAAGCAGCACAAGCTCATAAAGATGTTATACTCAACAGCGGTGCATGTGGAAGACTTACACTTATAATATAAAATCATGGTTTACTATTAATTCTTTTTTATAATTTTTTTATCCTTACTATCGAATATTGATTTTATTTCCCTCTGCTAAATGAAAATAAAAGAATGATAACATGTTCATTTATACTTTATTGTATGTTCTTAAATGCAATGGAAGCATAAACTATAATCAAGATCCTTCCCTCTTTTTGGAATTGAAAAATCTATTTTCTATGTGCATTATTAATATAAAAAAAAAAGTTTTCAAATTACATAATAAATATGCCTATTATCTCATCCGTTATATTGGTTGAGTTTCATTTGGTTTCTTCTATTATTATTAGCTATCGAACGTTTGTATACACCGATAAATTTGAAGACTTTCTATGAGTACCATTCTTCTGGTATCCTTTTCTTTGTCGAAACGGAACATTCAAAATGTAGTCAAAGAAAAAAAAATTATATGAATAACAAAAGAGCTTCTAAACATTTGAGTACCTCGCTCCTCTGGTATATGTTAAACTTCTCGTACTTTCTCTGTTGACATCTTTTCTTTCTCGTTTTAACTTGTTCTTTTGTCTTCCTTTTTTTTATCGACAATATTCAGTTTATCACATATTCTCTTCATTCAATATCAAACTTCGTATTTTACTACCTGGTTAGAGAGAAGCAATAACAAAGACCATCATACATCGAGACTGGTACTTTTTATACATTGACATGATAAAATTAGATCAGCATTCAAGTGTACTGATATTGTTGTTCATTGTTGGTTTATTTTTGACTCTTATCAATGGAGAAGATAATAAAACTTCAGTAAGTGATTAATAGGAAAGAATTAATGTTTCGTTTCTGATGAAAATAATGTTATTTAGTGTTGGTCTTCATCAACTGTATACAAAATATCAGCTCATAATGGTAATCATACCGATTGGGAAATAAGTGCTACTGAAATCGAATTTGTTGAAGAATGTCATTTATCCTTTGTACAAAAGATTACTAATAAAAATTGTTCTGAAGTAATAGGACCATCTCGGCGGCATCCAACACTTCTGCAAAGTAAAAGAATATTTTTGGAGCCTTGTTTGATTTTATCCTTTTTAAAATGTTGACTCTTTAGAATATGGTTATGGATTTTTATCTATTTTTATCATAAGTGCCCTCTCTCTAGCTGGTTTTATAGCATTTCCACTAATGAAAAAGCCTTATTATAAATATTTAAATGCATTTTTTACTGCATTGGCTGTTGGGACACTTTTTGCTGATAGCGCTTTTGAATTATTCCCTGTCGTATGTATTAGAATACTTCAAATATATCTTTTGATTATTATTTTCCACATCAAAGATTATCGAATATGGTCTAAGACAAAATCATTTACATGAACATGGTCGACTAACATTCAATGAACATTCAAATGGACAAAAACAGATACCACGTTTTCTTTGGCAGATGCTTGTTCTTGTTCTTAGTAAGTCATATTCTCAATTGTACTTAATATAAACTGTCTCTCTCTATAGCTGCTTATGTGTTCTATGTTATTGAACTTACTATAAACGCTTTTATGCATCGTCGACATAATGATCATCATCATCGTGTAAGAGTATTTATACATCTTTTGATTGATGATACGTGTTTTAATGTAGTGTGAAGCAAACCATTCATGTATTCATTCGCAATCTTTCTTTTTGTCTTAATTTTTAATGCATTATCAAGCATAGTATTATTTATGCACATCAATATGAGTTTATAACGTGCGAACGCTCTATATGCTGGCGCGTCTTGAGTGTTTCTTTCGTTCTCTCTCTCTCTCTAAACGGCAGACTTTGAATTTTACCTTGTTGTATGTCGATGACATTAAAAAAGAGAAATTAAAAGCTACTCGTTCGAGTGAGAGATTAAAATAACAGGATAAAGTCCATATCACACGAGTGGCAATCGTCACTAGAAATTTCCGTTTATTTTGAGAAATCTAGAGAAAAAATAAACCTTCATATATGTGTGGCAGGCGAGTTTGAAATTTCGTTGAGTGTGGAATAGTTTTTTTCTTAATTTTTTAATAGAATTTTTGTTGAGATCCGACTTTAGAAGTTTTTATATTGAGAACTATTCCTTGCATCTTTTTACAATGAGTTTTTAAATAATTCACCTCTGTGTATCTTTTTAACTATGGGGACACGGGGGCATTGAATTTATCTGAGAAAAATAAATCTTGTATTTTTTATCTTTCAGCGATAAATTCACTCTCTGTATATTTTTTAAACTATGGGGCCATGGGGGCATTGGATTTATCTGAGAAGTATTTCTTCTCTATTCTGTTTTTCTATAATCTATTATCACGAGCAGAAAGAAAAAGAGAAATTTTTTTTTTCGGTTAAGTATTTTTTTCGCGCATTCTAATCTCAACTGAAATTCTCATGTCAACTGTGGCATATATATATTATTTAAGTTGAACATACGAGAGCCGGTCTTTCATGTTCAAAACTTTATTTTTAAACGCCAGTTGTTTAATTAGAGAGATAATCAACGAATCCATTGTAAATGCTCTTAACCCTTTCCGGCCCGCTGTTTGGAAATTGCCGTACCCCCCTAGGGGAAAATGTTGCCATATGGCAGCACCGGGCCGGAAAGGGTTAAGAAACATCTCGATTTCTGTTAAAAACAGCTATCTTATCAACGCATTTTAGGATGTCCACACTTCCATGTCAAACATCAATCGGCTGATAAATCGAAGTCGAAAAATTCTCCCATGATAGTTCCAATGTCCTTGAAGTACTTCTTGGGGGAAAAGTTTTGTTTTCCATACTACTAGACATTGTCTTTAGTTTTGCATGACTTATCGATTTTTCGCATGATGCAAGGATAAATGCCATAGCACAATGGTCAGCCAAGTAAACCTTGAGGAATTCAATCCTAGCATAGGAAAACTAAGGATGCGAAAGTCACGTTCATGAAATTTTGAGCTACAGAACATATGCTATTACGGAAATTAAAGATTTCCCTGAATCGAATTATTTTGATTAAAAAAAATATTGTTTTCTTTGTTATTACTAGAGTTCATTTGCTCTTAATGATTATAAAACGCCTGAACGGAGTGAACTACCGAGAGGAGCATTATCAAAATCCCATGGTGATCTTTCGATTATTGCTACCAATACTTTACCTAATTTGACTATAACCGCTGATGAACGACAGACGAAAAGTAAAATCAATTTGATGACACACCTCATCATTACGATGGTTCATGTTTTGTTTTTCTCTAAATCTTTTCTAGGCACTGGCTGGATGATCATTATTGGTGATGGTATTCATAATATAGCTGATGGCCTTGCTATTGGAGCAGCGTTTTCTGAAAATATCTGGTTTGGTGTGACTACGTCAGTTGCGATTGCATGTCATGAATTACCAACTGAACTTGGTCTGTTTACTATCACTAGTATGACATTATCCTAAGTTTTGATTTAATTTAAAGGTGAATATATGGTTTTGATTGAATCGGGTTTTACTTTACGTCGAGCGTTACTTTTCAATTTTGTATCGGCTTGTACAGCGTTTATTGGCTTTTTCATAGGAGCTGGTGCCGCTCAAAATGAAGGTGCCCGTACATGGATTTTTGCTATTACAGCTGGAACATTTGCGTATATCGCGCTTGTGGATTTAGTAAGTTTATTTTATTATTATTTTCATGAATGATAACGATGTTCTATTGATTATTTCCCAGTGGCCAACATTAATGCCACACGCAGATAAATTTGATTGGGTTCGATTTATTTGCGTTACTGCCGGTTATTTACTAGGTGTTACAATCATGTTAATTTTAACAATATTTGATGAGCAAATCGTAAATTCAACTGCAGAAAATTAGAAAGTGATGATATTCAGTTTTTTTTTCGGAATTATTATATATTCAATAAACAATATTTAGGCTGAATCATTTGTGAATGGGCACTTTATAACAAAATTTCATAAATCATGTTGTCTTCAGCGTAATGATAGATTTGTTTTTGTTGATCACATAGGAAACATCCATACCCTTATTAGAGTGGAATATGTATGCACATCGATAAATTCTGATGGACTAAACAGAAGTCGATGCTGGATCGATAGTATATGTCTCTATTTTTTTTTGTATTCTTCAAGTTATCATAATTGTTTTCATTAGTTATGCAAATCAATGACATCAATAGATATTTTTTGCGATAGAACATAAATGCTCCCCTTGATTTTGAAGAGTAAATTCAGACATGCGTCACTTGAGTTTCTTTTGAAATTTTAACATTTACTGAAATGTCAAAATAAGTGAAACAATGAATCTTTAATGTAAGCCTCAGCAAATTTTAATCAATAAGCACACGTTTATGGTGTCGTCTATATTAAATACCTTGTTAATTGTAGTCATTCTGCCGAATAATCATGAAACTGTTTGAATATCGATTGGATAAATATTATCTACGATATGAACAAAGGATTCGCAATACAACAAGTTTTTTTCTTTCTATAGCTTAAACGAATCATTATCGTATATACTTAATATTAATCAGTTTTAAGTTGGAATATGTTCACTATACGTGACTCATGACCTATCTATTGTCATAGTATCGACTGAGGCTAATGTTTTCGGTATAGTATCAGCGATTGCTATGGCTAGTCAAGAATTTGCCAAGATACTTTGATTTTATCTTATTATTAGTTACTTCTCTTATATTGAAATATATAATTTTCCTTAAATTTCACTTCGAATTTTTTCTCGAAGATTTTTTATTTCGGTTATTTTTTGCTATAATTGCATAACAGATGAAGTATGGTTGAGCGTTCATTTTATTTATTTTCTAAACAAATCTTGTTTATAAAACCTTAAAAAAGTATCAATCAAAAGTATTAAGAAAAACAAACAAGTACAAAACAAGTAAACTTTTTAACACACAGATCAAACCAAACAAGAGTACTGTGTCATGGTTCGCTAGTTGGACATGTTCATTTAGTGTTTTTCGATTTTATCCGAAATGAGGCGTATCACGCATATTTTCATGGACACGTAAATGTTCTGTAGCAACATCGATAAGTGTTGGTTCTTCAAGTGCATCAGCTGCATAACCATCAGTTGTTGAACTATAATATAAGCATACAAGAGAAAGCGACGTGATTACAAAAAAGTTCATATAAAAACTTACGTATCAGTTTCAGGAAAAAGATCCCTGGCGTTACTTGCAGCTAAATCAGCTTGATGAATAAGCGATGGAATAGCCTCACTTGTTGATGAACGTGGATCAGTAAAACATAAATAATAAGTTAATAATTGTAATTCATCGGCAGTAAATTTGATTTCATCATAAAGAACATGATAAAGTGCTGGACGATTTGTGCCTTGAAGTGCTTTATGGGAATTGAGAAAAAAACTAAATTGACCAGGATGTACAACATCTGTATCAACAACAAGTCCAGGAGAAATGTTAGCTGTTTCATTTCGATCATTCACTATGAAAAATCGTGTGTGGTGACGCTTTTTTACAACAATAAAAGTCAACAATGGTAATGGTTGATTTTCATAGACATCTAGAAAACGAATGGCATCAATTGAATATCATTTATCGGATTTCAAAACTAAAAAAATTCACCTTTAAAAGCTTCTTTTATCTGTGGAATTTCAAAATTAAGAACACGTGCAAATTGCCCATCGTCCACTCCTGTTTTTATATAAAAAAAATTCGTTTCTTTTCCTAAATAAATGAATTTTATTCTTTACCATCTCTATAGAAGACAATTTTATTTGGTAATCGATCGTCGTTCGATCCCCGATAATATTCCAATAGCTCACCTACCATCTGTCGCAAGTCGATAATAGCTTCAATAGCACATTTACCAGTTTTCGGCCATTGTTTACAAACTCGAACAGCACTTGTTGAACATATTGAATCACCTGAACCAACAACGGCCGCAATTGATGGTTTATCTTGGCGACATACAGGATGAATAACATCAGCACCCATAAATTGCCATGCATCTTCCTTCTTTGGCTTCGCTGATGCAACGCCACTGCTAGCAATTGTTTTGATATGTAAGTCAACTTGTGTATTAATACCTTGCAATTTAAAATTAATTTTTCGTAATAAATTCTCGCACATGTTATCTAATATACGATCAGGATGACCACGTGGTCTACGCTGAAATTTATCCATTTGTTCTTGAAGTTTGGAATATAATAAACATTGCGTTGCTATACCTATTGAAGAGCAAATATTTCAATAGATGGGAGTCAATTTTTTTAGAAAAATCTAAATACCATATGTAACAGTTCCATTTTGTTTAATATTAGCTCGTAATTCATTCCAGCTACTATCCATAATGCAGACAACTAGTTGACATTTTTGCTTTTCTCTTCTCGAAAAACAAGTGTTAATAGCAGCTAAATTCTTATCATGATTTTCTTCATTCTCTACTATGTGAACAACGTCTTTCGTGCAAGTCTGAATTGGTCCTAAACGAAATGCTGTAGCCATCTAAGAAAAGATAAAACCATAATAAACAAACAATTAAAAACAGAATAATAATAGTTTACTTTGTTAAAAGAAGTTACAAATTTTTCCATTAATTCTTTTTTTGGTGCAGGTAATGGGGATACTATTGGACCAAAATACACAAATGTAATTGATGTAATTTTAAACGGTGCAACAAATCTTCCTTTTAAATTTATTCGACCCATCGTAATTTCAGCATTATTATTATTAATTACTGGAGGATCAAGAATTCGAGCTTTAATTAACTTCATTTCTTTATCATCTACTGACAATTGAACAGCCTTACACAGTGGTAATGTTGGTGGTGCACGATATTGACATGATTTAAGTGATGACATTATATCTCTATAACGTTGCTCAGGTGTTGGAATTGAATGGCTTTGCCGGTTACGTTGTTCCGAGGCAGACTGAAATTAATAATGAATTTCATTTTTCATAATATTAATTTTTCTCTTAACTACAAACCTCACGTTCACATTCTTGCCATTGAAGAATTCGGCAGAGTTCTATTGGTAAATGTTTTGGATCATGTCGTTCGTGCAAAAAATAACATTGCAAACAACGTAATTTTGGATAATCTAGTTTGATTTTCTTTTCATACTTGTAATATTCAATAAGATTATATTTAATAGATGAACTAAGATTTTGTCCGTTCACATGGGTTTCTTTCGTAAAATCAAATACCTGCCGTTCGGGTACATCAGAGAAACTTCGAATTTGATAAATCTACAGGAAAACAACTATTTAATGACAATTTGGATATGATAATTTTTACCTGTGTATAATTCGATTGTCTTGTAGTTATTTTACAACCTCGCAATGCTATTTTAACTTTTTCATAATCATTAATTGTCATTCCATACTTTCGAATATCTTTGTTTAAATGTACTTCAATAAAATCAAGTACATCGACATAGGGATAGAATTTAGTTAATGTTGTTTGCAAATTAAGAGTTAATCCTGCTTGTGTTAAACATAATGCTTGAAAAAATCCTAACCGTAATTCAAAACCATCTGGCAAACTTACGTCTGGCTTAGGTTCATTTCGATAGAATAATGAACCTTCACAGTGACTAATGGGTAATAGAGCTTGTTTGAGTAAAGTCTCTAGTATACGAACAGCACTTGCTGGAACATCAGAATTAGGCGACCGAAGATAATCAGTTATTGTTGCTGTCGACCATTGACCAGCTAATTTAAGAACACATAGACGAAGATTCTCATTTTGATCGGGTGGAAGGGTGTATATTAATGGAAATTGGCGTTTACTTATATTGGTTGTTGAGTAGAAACATTTACCTTCATCATACCTAAAAACATATACACACTGATAGTATAGTATGTTGGTGAATCTTCGACATTCTTTTTGGTAAGGACAGATTTTTGTTTTTAGAAAAAACTTTCAAGACACGATTACATGTTAATAGATTTTGAAATTAATCAGATTCTTTCTCTATCTTTAGTAGCCACCTATTATGAATGAAGAAATAGAACGAAATACGCAATTAACTTATTTCTATTGTATCTCTCACATATGCTCTTGTCTTACCTATATAATTAACTGAATATACTACACTTCGTGTGTGTATACATGACGAAAATTTAAGTGTTTACATTCATTCATTTTCTCATGAAGAACATTAGTAATATGATTCGAAATGTTAACTGGAAAAGAACTATTCATTAAAATGTAATCTGTGCAATATTTTATTTTTTGTAATTCCAACTATGAAAATTTAACCGCAGAATATCTTATTTCTTACCAGTATGTAAAATCAAATGCGTTGTTCTTAGCTAGTTTTTCCACAAATCGTCGACGGTGATCACGACTTGGCACTTCTTCCCAAATGTTTGGCGACCGAAAATTTGGCTTCTCTACGACAGCATCATATTGATATAGTATTATATTTGGTGCTACGCTAACCGGAAAATGATTAACATAGACTTGTGTTGGAGTGCCTAGTGTGCCGGGAGCTGGCTTCGGTGGTGGACCAGTGCTGTTTTCAATTGGAGGTAACAATGGAATGGCCGATACAATTGGATTACGTTTCATACGACGTCTGACTGTTGGGGGTGTTGGACGAGGTGAACTCGATAACATTTCCTCATTTGGCATACAGTCGTTCTTCTCATTGTCAACTATCACAGCCGCTGCTACCGCTCCATTTGAGCTTGCCTCAGATTTCGAAACTACTGCTAGAGCTTTCTATAATATTCGTAGATTCGTTTTAAACAAATAATAAAAATGAAAAATCTACATACATCCTCAACTGGGCTATCAGTGATAAGAGAGAGTTGTTGTATTGTCTCGGGTTTCAAGACTACATCAGTCGTCTCTACATGCTTCTGCTCGGTTGATAATATTTCCTGAGTTAAATCAACTTCAGCATGTTCACTATCAGGTGGGTGTGTCTGTTGTAGAGCAACTCGAGCATTTTTACGCCGTTGCTTTTTATTTTTTGATTGATGAGTATTTGATGACATGTTTTATCTAAAAAGACAAGAAAGAAATAGAACAGTTTACAAAACAAAACACAATATAATTCATAGCAATCATGCGTGACTATCTGCATGAATTACTTTTCTTACGTGTAGAAACAAAAGGAAGGTACTCAAAAAGAAAAAGAAAAAGAAAAAGAAAAAGAAAAAGAAAAAGAAAAAGAAAAGAAAGTTCAATAATCAATCGCTGATGTTAACAAAGCAACAAAAAAACTTCGGTTTTTTTATGAATAGATTTTAAAAAATTTATACTCGGTATCCAACTCATCGAAAACCACGTACAAGGGACAAAAAATAATGTGGGTATAATTAATACGTATATATGCTTGAACTACTTTTTTTGATTAAAGAAAGTTAGAGGAATTCTTTTAAAACAACAATCGTCTTCATATGCACAGAAGCCACATAAAGAAAAATAATAAAAATAAGTTCGAATTTTTGCACTGCGCGCAATCAGTTGAAGCACATGATGTTGAAAGTGATGACGGTGTGTCCACAGAAAAGACAGATTGTTAACGATAGTGATGTGTGAATCATCGTTATCGAAAACAAGCATTTTGAAAAGAAAGATCTATGAGTAGCAAAGCCATAGAAGAATCAACATTCTACTCTGATAAATAGTTATCAAAGAAGAAGAGACAAAGGAAAGAAGAAAAAACACAATTCCATATAATACAAGAGTAAAGATAAGTTTTCGAACTGATAGTGGCGTGTCAGGGCATGTAGGTAGAAATGTGCAACATTTGAGAATATAAAACTCACTCTTTTTTTTCTTGTTTTTGTCTTAAATCTCCAACTATTCCGATTTTATTTTGTTCTCATGTTTCTACTGATGCTTCTATTTGATGGATAGACCGCAGTTTGCATCGTGTTGTTATTTATTCCCAGAGTAGAAACAAGAAAGGAAGAGAAAATTGCACAAAAAAATAACGCTCCTGGGTGGGCTCGAACCACCAGCCTTCCGGTTAACAGCCGAACGCGCTAACCAATTGCGCCACAAGAGCTGTGATGATCAGTCTTGCCATACCTAGTATCATGATTTATTGCGAAAAGTGAATATGCTTACGGAAAAAAAACAGGAAATATTTTATATTATACATTGATTACAAATGAAGAAATGTTTTTCATTGAAATCTTGAGAAATGAAATCACTATTTTACTATTGCTTCTTCCTCCGATATTTGTCAAATAATTCATGGAATACATTATACCATATTTGCATTTAATACGGAAAATTAAGTATTTTTATATAACACTGTGACGATGCTTTGGTTTTGTTTTTGCTTAAAAGCATCATGCATGAATTCTGATTATTTTGTCAAAAGATAGATAAACGTAGAGCAAATGCAGTTTGTTCTTATTTTCTAGTAGAAAGATGAAATTGATGTTTCAAGTAACAATTTTAATGCAGATTAATGGCTACAAGACATGCACTATGCGAATTACAAATATTTAATCTCTCAAGTACGAAGTTTATATGAAAGCTAGTTGAAGTTCTAATTTTTCCAACTATTTATTATCTGAATAAAAAGTGCTCGGAAACGAAATCTTTATTAATTTGTTTAGTTTTAAGTATACTGCAGACTAACATCCTTGTATGATATAGAAATGTTCAATATAGAAATTCGTCAGTATCCATCGATTGCTAGTTTTGATAAAGAGCGTACAGAAACTCCAGTCATCTCAAATCCTACACTTAATACTACGCCCATGTCATTCTTCTTTTTCAGTAGCGCCGCTATAGCGCCAAAACGCCATATAGTGCCACAGACATCGTAGCTGTTCTAACGATATAACGGCGCCAAGTGTCATAACCATTGTAACGCTCTATGCGGCGCTATACCAGTTAAGAAAATGAAACTGCCAGTTCTATTTTTATCCTTAAAGTAATTAATTACAAGTCCATCAGTGTCTTTAGATTATTAATGATCTGATAGGCCGAATTAATCATGGTTCATCAAATTATCGAATAATATTAAAAATCCTTCTAGATTTATCTTGAATCCTCGGCTTGCTAATGATAATTATCTTCGATTTAGCTTTATAATCAATGTATCAATTTCCTAATAAAGTAAACCAAAGACATCGTATTCGACAGCTTAAACGTCAATCGGATCGTCAGATAATTGTTCCTAATAACGACTTTGCTAATATCAACTACAGTAATGAGGAGCTGTTAGGGAAAATTCTGTTATAGTGCCTTTTATCTAATGAAGAGAATTAATCAGAGAGAAAAATGATCACGTTGTATTTCTTTTTTTTCTACCAACCAATATGACTCGGCTAGCTATATTGATTTATTTCTCTCTTCTCAGACAGAACAAGCGAGTAAAATAACCTCTGTAAAATTAATTATCGTTCTACACCTGTTTCATTCTCTATGAACGATCGTTGTTTATCCTTCTTCTTATATTAATCCAACAGGTATATCGTCATATTTTCGTCAAATAATAATGATCTAATTGTGGTATCAGGAAGATCACCGTCGAACGCACTTTCAAATACTGATGTGCGTAACAGAATATCTATAGATTCCTTTTCATCACAAAAAAAAAAAAAAAAAGATCTAAAATAATACAAGATAATGATTCATCATCATCCACCCAATCAGATGAAGATGAAGTTTCATGTTTAATGGATACAATTAAAAATCCTATTTTTCATGGTCGACGATCAACTCATGGAGTTAAAAATGACTCTACGTCGCACAAATCAACGGAAGCACATAGTTTTTCACAACGGATGGAAACAAAATATTTGATGTTGATGTTAGTTTGCCAAGAACGATTAGAAGAAATGATGAAATCAATCTACAAGAACCAGATAAAGATTCAAAAAGTTTTGAATAAACGACAGGTATTATTTAAAAAAATCCAAGATAAAGAATTTCCTAGACTTTAGCTATTAAATTGTAATATTAACTGAAATCCCTAATCCACTCTCCTCCGACGACTCCTCGGGGAGTCCCCACAAAATAACGAAATCCCTGGGGAGTCCCCGGGGATTCTTCTAGGGAGAGTTGAGTAGAGATAGATTTTCATATTTCGACAGCTCTATTACTTGAAGATCCAGCTGATATCAATAATGATGATAGAAGTTTTTCATCTTATCTAGTGAGTATGATTTTCAATTATACGTCTTATTTTAGATGTTTAAATCAAATGGTGATGAACCTGGTACCGATTTGATCAAGGTCCTGGGAACAAAAGACAAAGTTAATCTTTATGTAACACAATTGATTCAAAGAATGTTCGCAATAGAAGAGCTCTTTGAACTACAACCAGTTAATACTCACGATGACAACAGATAAATTAATTCAAGATATTAATTTTGTTTTTACTTCATGTTTATATCTTAAGTCTTTATTTTCAGAAGCTGTACGTATAAAATTTAAACGCGATGATGAACAAGGGGAACAATTATTTAGTGAATGACTACGTGAAGGTTTTGTTTTCTACTCCACTGTTTCTTTTGTTTTTGGACGAAAACATTTTGTTGTAGGTAACATTTATTAAATGTATTTTTTTTTTGATTGTATGATCAAATAAAATTTACAAAAAAGTAATCAAAACTTTTCTATGTATCAAGCTTTGAATAAATATGAACCACTAAAATCTAACGAAAGGGTAGATCTACAAGAGTACCAGCAGTCATAAAAAAAATCGGATGCTATAGGGCGCTTTATCGATTCATATCGCCGTTATATCGCGATATAACAGACATAGGGGAGCTCTAAAAGGGGTCACAGTGCGATTGCAATAGCGGCGTGATAAAGCTGTTATTCAATCGTTATCGATGATATGGGCGTTCTCTACATTAAATTATCTGGAAACCAATGGGTATTGATATAGGGATAATTCTTCCTCGCTGAAATCTTTCTTAATAATGTCTTTTATTGATAAGTAGCATGAAGTAAGTACTTATGGCAATCATACTTCAATTAGTATCATAGAAATGAAATTTTAAGTGGATCTGCTTTTTCTTTATCTTATGTGATCATGATATCTACGCCTATCGATTTGACGCTCTTTTAATAGCATAAAGATCTTTAATTTTCATTATTTCAGTGAGAAGGCAAATACGCATCGAATATTATCCTACACGTTTCCCTAGTATTTTATCTTACGTCTTTTTCGTTCAAGTTTCGATTGATTGAAAAATTATTTCCTATAAAAAATGAAACAGCACATAACTCTCACGACAGGTTTGTTTTCAGAGAGGCTGATTGAAAGCCTTCAAAACAATCATATAAAAAACACCTTTAACTTAAAACCCGCTACATCTTCATCGTCTCTATTGAATGGTGAAAGGTACACCTTTCTATCTTGTTTCTATCGAAATTTATTTAAAAAAGTGTCCAATAAATAGGCATCAGTATCATGATCACATAAGATAATGATCAAATATCTCAGCAAGAAAATTTTTCTCGACCTGTTCATGCACTACAGAAATTGATCGGCCACTATTATTGAATTTCCCTAAGCATTCTATGAGATATGCATGGGAAATGTTGAAGGGAAAAACTTGGTGAAACCAATTTTGAAAGAATAGATAATGGAGAGTTTGATCAGGAAGGTAAACATTTTCTTTTCTTTCATTCCACAAAGTGAAACCTAGATGTATTAGTGATGAAAATTAAATATAAACAGAGAAGTAAGTTGGTCTATCCAGCTAACTCTGCTATCGGAAGGATAAGTACGTTACTGTTTCGAGGCATATTGTTCCTCACATAACTCTCGAACTGTTTAACAAGGAAATGTGGTTAGTATCTGATTTTGTATGTTCTAATGTGCTGTGCAAAACGTACGTTTATTTTTGTTTTCATTAGAGTATTTGATGATCGCTCTACCTAAAAGCTAAAAGGCAAAAAGAACCTTTTTACAGCACAAACTATATTGCAATATTTTTGTTTAATCGGAATACAAGAACATCTTAGATGGAACAAATAAACGTACGTTTTGTAGAGTGTATTAGAAATATACAAA